GGACTCTGGGGTTGGCATGTGGGTTGAGGGAGAGGGGCCCCTGGACTCCTGGGTTGGAAAAGACGTTGCTCACCAGTGAGGGTGATGTGGTTGCCGCCCGCTCCCAGGGCCCCACTGCACAGCACCGAGTAGTTTCCCAGGTCCCAGTCCAGGCTGAAGTTGCCAATGGAGAGCCTGCGTCCGTCTGGGCTGACCCGCAGGCGGCCTCCGCCCCCAGGAGCCAGGGGCCGCCCCTCCCGGGCCCAAGATGCTCTGGAGGGCGGGTGACATCCTGAGGCCTCCAGCGCCACCACGGCCTCCCCTGACCGCGTCTCTTCCACCTTGGGGTGCAGCAGCACCTCTCGGGGGGCCTCTGCGGGAGGGAGAGGCTCAGTAAGTCAGTCAAACCCCACCCTGGATTTAAAGGAGGGCACAGTGACTAAAAAGCCCAGGTGATGTAAATGGTTACATTGGGCTGTTAACGTAAGGTCAGCAGTTCGAAGCTACCAGCTGCTCTGAGAGAAAGAAACGGCCTTTCTACTGCAGAGAGTGACAGTCTCAGAAACCCACAGGGGCGGTCCTGCCCTGTCCTAGAGGATGGGAAACTGAGGACCCAGAAGACGGTGTACAGACGAATGCTTTATATTCTCATGTGTAAGAAACCTGGGAGGCCAGGGTGCTGGGTGGAGGGAGGCCTTCACACTTGTGAGTCAGAGATGAGTCCCAGTCACATTCTCCTAATTAAGATTAATCCCCACAGTATCCTCCCATCATAGTGCTGCCTTAAAGGGACCTCTTAGGAGCACATGGCTGATTGCTATCTGGCCGGCAGCTTGATCTGCAGGGGCAGACGTGTCTCTATTGCTCTCCCTGCTCAGGGGACAGTCACTCCCCTTACCTGCCCCCAGCACTGGTGTTAGGTTACTCCTCCAATGAGCTCAGGGCTCTGTAAGGTCAGGGTACGGCCCACTTTGTTATGTATGTGGGTACCTGTAATTAGGAGGACTTGCATGCCCCAAGACTATATAAGTTGGTGTAAGAATACATTCTTTCTCCTGCCCAGACCTGGTTCCTGATACCATGGAGGAGGTGAGCATCCCAAAACTTTTGCCTCTTAATTTCTTCCCGTCAATTAAGCAACCTTCCCTTAGGACCCATCCGGATGTGGGCTGCATCCCACACTACAGGGTCGCTATGATTGGGCATCAACTCAATGGCCGTAAGTTTGGTTTTTCAGTTTTGGTTAGTGGCCCAGTGGGTTAGGCATTGGGCTCCTAACCTCAGGGTTGGCAGTTCAAAGCTTCCAGTTACTACAAGGGAGGAAAATGAGGCTGTCTGCTCAGGACAGTTCTGCTAGGAAACAGTTGGAATTCTGTCCTGTCGGGTTGCTGTGAGTCAGTCGGTGAGTTTGGTGTGGGATTTGCTTTAGTGGCACAGTGGTTCAGCGCTTGGCTGCTCACTGAAAGGTTGGTGGTTCCGGCTGACACCCACCTGGGGCTTTGTGGAAGACAGAGGTGGCAGTCTGCGTTCATGAAGATTTGAAACACACAGCCGCAACGACAAATCCAGGGCCACCAAGTCAATTCCGACTCATAGTGAATCTACATGGGGTTTCTCAGATTGCTAATCTTTACAGGAGCAGACAGCCTCATCGTTCTCCCTGAGAGGGGGGTGGATTTGAACCCCAGATCTTGTGGTTAGCGGTCCAATGCTTACTACACAGCTGGAGCATGAAGATTTACTTAGAGCCTTGGCAATCCTATGCGATAGTTCGGTTTCAGGGCCATTGAGTAAATTCTGTCGCCCAAAGACCCTATAGCATAGGGTAGAAGTGCCTGCGTGGGTTTCTGAGGCTCTAAATCTTTACAGGGCTAGAAAGCCTCACCTTGCTCCTCTGGAGCAGCAGGTGGTTTCGAACTGCTGACTGAGGTTATCCATCCAACTCACAACCCACTGCGCCACCAAGGCATCTATGCGGCAGTTCTACTCCGTCCTATAGGGCGGTGAGCTGTCATGTGCCACAGTGGGTTTGGGAAGGACCCTTCCCAGTGGGTCAAAAGAAAAGTCCCTCCTCCCCCTCCCCACCCGAATAAAGCACCCCCCTCACCCGGGGTGATGGTGCAGGTGCGCGTGGCCATCAGGTGATGCGCAAGGCAGGTGACAGGGACGCCGCTGAGCCGGGGGTGGGCAGGGACTGATGCCAGGAGCGTAGAGGGCACTGGTCCCGCTCGGATGCCCTGAGGGAGACCCTGGAACTGTATGGAGGCTGCAGGAACCCCGCCAAGCCATGAGCAGCGGAAATGGAGGTTGAGGTCGCCTGGGCTCCCTTCCACTGAGCACTGTGGGGACCCAGGGGGCAGATCTGCAGAAGGAAAAACAAAAGTTACGGCCTCTCTCCACTTTCTCCTATAGCCCCGCCCCTCACCCACCGGACCCCGCCCATTTGCGTGCGGGGCCCCGCCCAATTGCCTTGCTGATCCAGCCTCCTTTGCCC